TAAGTCGGCGCACTGGAGACATCTTCTGATTCTGCATCAATGGTGGAGTCCAGTTCACTGCGAATCTGAGCGATTTCCCCCTCAAAATGTAACGCAAATTCCTCACAGTGAGCTGCCGAGTGGTCCTGTGTCCCCACCGACCCTCCCAGCTGGAGGAGATCACGGACTACCCGAAACAGCTCTGCTGGACAACATTCAGAGGAAGCAATGCGGGTGGCAAAATATTGTCATTTCGCCAGCCGTATTGCCACAGAATAGGCCCGATAATGGGCTCTAAGCCGTGTTCGATCAGATTCATAGTGTGATTTCCTCCACCTGCCCTCTAGTCATCTCCCCACTTGCTTCATCGCCTGGAGCTCAGATGTCTACCGAGGAGCTGTCTGGGCTCTGTGGGTGGGGAGATGGCGCTTAGGTGCGATCGTGTAAACCGCCTGGGTTATCTCTCTCTTCCAAAAGGTGACCTGAGCTTCGATAGGAGTGCTGACCATATGGGATGGATATTCTCCCAGAGCATTCAGGAAACCTTCTGGATCCATATGTCTCTGAGGGAGGATCATCTTAATAGATACCCCACCCTCACAGAGGAAAGAGGATGCATATACTCTAAACTTGACCAGGAAGTGGTCTGACCATGACAATGGGGTCACTACCAGCCCCTCCACATCTGGACCACCATCTTCCAATCCTGTTGAGAAGATCAGGTCCAGGGTATGGCCCTTTTCGTGTGTTGGGCCTACAACAAATTGAGGCAGCGCCATGGTGGCCATGAGGTCCATGAGGCATGCCATGAGGGCAGTCTTATTTTGTACTGACCTGCTGTTCATCAACAGCACCATGTGGCTCAAGTGTTTGCTGATATGGTCACCTGATACCATCTGGTTGGAAGAAGGACTAGAAGAGGGGATAAATGTAAGATATCTAACCTCCTATGTGGGCATGTTCTACCCCCTCCATCATACCTTCCTCTACCCAGCATTACTTCAGTGGCTGTGCTCTCCACTGCCCTCCCCCCTTCCTGTTCTTTCTGGCTTATTGGGCTGCCAATATTGTAACACATTGTTACAATACAGAATCTGTGCTGCTCCAAGATTCCATAAAAAGGGAAAAGGCTTGAGCAGAGGTGTACAGTGGTGCCCCGTATAGCGAGGTTAATCCGTTCCGGATTAACCTTCGCTATACGAAAACATCGCTGTGCGGGTAAGCAAAGCCTATTGGAACGCATTAAACTTAGTTTAATGCGTTCCAATAACCGTGGAAACTTACCGCTGTTCAGCGGCTCCAAAATGGCCGCCGGAGGCCCCAATCGTCGCAAAGCGAGTACGGCGATTGGGGCTGATCCGTATAGCGATCCCCAAAAAGGGATCGCTATACGGATTCTTCGTTAAACGGTGCGCTGTTAAGCGAGGCACCACTGTATTTAATTGAGAGCTTCAGTGAGGTACATTGCCAAGTCTGATTTCAAGGGAAGGTTCAGTCTGAACAATTTCTTGGTGGGTTACACCTGTTCTCAGAAGCTTGCTGCCTTTTTAAGCCTCTACATTGGTTCTTTCTCTCCCATTCACTTCACGAGTGATTCTCTGCATTCTGGGAGACATGAGTTTCTGATGATGTCTTAATGTATATGTACTTTGTTTCCCCGAAAATAAGACCTAACCTGAAAATAAGCCCCAGTGAAGTAAAACCCAACCCTTCACCATTGTGCAGCAACCAGAGTATTTGAATAAATGTAGATTGTTGTACATGAAAAAAAAATCCCCTGAAAATAAGCCCTAATGTGTTTTTGGAGCCAAAATTAATGTAAGACCCTGTCTTATTTTTGGGGAAACATGGCAGTTTGTTTTTGTTTGGGGTGTTTTGATGGGGAAACACAAGTAGGGCTGTGTCTCCAATCAGTAATAGGCCACTATCCTGTCCACTTTCTTCACATCCTGCAGAGGTTTAGGATACCATTACCAGACCATTAGCAAGTGAGCAGTAACATCACACAGCTCATCCCCTCTTGCAGATAGCACTTCTGTAGTTGAATATCAGTTTGTCATCTCAGGTCATGTTATCCCCATTGCAATATCTGTTATAAGGAGGCTGGTACTATACTAAAGGAGGACAGAGTTGTTTTTACTTGATTCTAGTTGCAGTTTAAGGGGAGTGACAGATTGCTATACATTTTGGGATGTGACAGAAATATTAGTAGATTGCTTATTCATACTCCCCTTCAGTCCAGCACTTGTTTTTACCTCAGGTTCACAGTCTCCTGCCTGTGCTGTCTCACCATGTAGGGTCCTTCCACTGCTGGTCCTCTTGCATGGTTTCAGCTTAGTATTTACATCTTCCTCCATTTCTCTCTGCAGGTGCAACTGATAGGGAGTGTTTAAACTTTCCTCAGCTTTTTAAAACTTCTCTTGGTAGTTAACCATCAGGAGGTAAAATAATTTCTGACATAACTCAACTGTTTGGGCTATACTAACAAAAGTTTGGAAATTATAGAAATATAATTGGGGCAGCACTGGTAAGAGGAAATGTAAATGTAAACTGACAGAGGCTTGTCATGAAAAGATAAGAGCCCATCACTTTGAAGGTGATCACATTGAAGGACATCTGACCTAACAGATGTCTCAGGAAAGCCTGCAAACAGGGCATGGAAATAATAGCTCACAGTATCATAGCAAGGTGTCATCAGGGCTCTTGGGGTAGCATGGTCCTTGCTAAAATCAGACACTGTTGAACTTGTGTGGCACAAGAAGCAAAAAGGTGTGGTTCTGGAAAGTATCTTAAATTAACATGTCCCTCACTAGGAAGCAGTCCTGCTTTGTCATTTAAAACTCCCACAGACACTTTTATTTCCTCCCCCCCCCCCAAATATTTTACCCTCTATGTTAATTAACACAAGAAGACTTTGCATTATCTAAACTCTATACCTGATTTGGAATAGCAAAACCATTTCTGAAAAAATTAGAAAAAGAACATCAACCCCACCCCTACCCCGAACTCCGGTTTTCAGACAAGAAGGATGATCAGTGGAGTTGTGGCTTTGGAGGTTATTTCCATAATGAGATACTGCGCTTCCCCAAATTATTTTGAAAAGACAACAGTCCTACTGACACCAAAAATGTCTTTCCTTAATGTCATCAGCCAAATGGGTGGCCACCCTGAGGGAGGCCCATAAATCCTCTATAAGAGGTAGGGCCTTCTTTGGGGTGGCTCCAACCTTATGGAAACAGCTTTCGGAGGAGCTCCACCTAGCCTCCTCCTGTGGACTTTTATGAAGCAATTAAAGACATTGCTTTTCAAGGAGGCTTTCCACACTGACCCTAGCTGATTGCCTCATGCACCCTTTCCTCCACCTGCTCTGGTTTCATATGATTGCTCTGTGCCATCTGTTTTTAAGGGTTGATTGTACAGTGGTGCCTCGCTTAACGGGCGCCCCGTTTAACGATGAATCTGCATAGCAATGAAGATTTTGCGATCGCTTTTGCAATTGCATTGCGATGCTCCCTATGGGGAAAAATCGCTTTGCGATTATTCCCCATATGCCCCATTTTTCCCCAGCTGACCAGCGGGGGCTTGGGAAGGACCGCGGGGGAGCCCTCCCCCACAGTCCTCGCAAAGCCCCAGCCGGCATTTTCCCCCAGCTGACCGGTGGGAGCTTCCGAAGGACCGCGGGGGAACCGTCCCCTGTGGTCCTTCCAAAGCCACCACTGCTCATCTGGGCGAAAATGCCGACTGGGGCTTTGCGAGGACTGCAGGGAAGGGCTTCTGAAGCCATTGCTGCTCAGCTGGGCGAAAATGCTGGCGGGGGCTTCGGAAGGACAGTCCTCCCAAAGACCCCATTTTTGCACAGCTGATCGGCAGTTCCAAAATGGCTGTCCGCTGTGTTGCCTCGCTTTAGAGGCACCGAAAATGGCCGCCCTTATGGAGGATCTTCGCATAACGGTGAGTTTTTCCCCCATAGGAACGCATTAAACAGGGTTTAATGCATTCCTATGGGTTTTTTTGCCCCGTATAGCGATGAATCCGGATAGCGATGATTTATCCAGAACGGATTATCGTCGCTATGCGGGGCACCACTTATTAGACAAGAGATAGGTTGGTAATATTACCATCTTGGTTAGGTTAGATCCTTTTGAAGTTTCTTATGGAATCTTAGAATTTAAGGGTTGGAAAGAGAATTGAATATTTTTCTTGGCCTTACTTCATTTCCTCTCCCACTTACTGGTATTCCATCTTGGCTCATTTCCTTTATTAGAGGAAGGCTGGGGGAGGGGAGAGGCAGGAGATTAGGAAAGTGAGTGGAACAATAAGGGTGGGTTACACCCCCTCCTTTGCATGCCCTTTTTGATAAAATTAGAGCTCCCTAATCTACCTGCCTCTTATAAAAATGGACAAATTCACAGAGATATAAATGCTAACACATCTAGTTTATGCTTTGATTTTCAGTTCCTCAAATCTTCAGTAATCTAGTTTTCATTTTAGTTCATTATTGGATAAGAACATAAGAAGAGCCTTGCTGGATCAGGCCAAGGGCCCATCTAAATCCAGCTTCCTGTATCTCACAGTGGCCCTGCCAGCTGCCTCTGGGAGCACACGAGACAACTAGATCCCTCTCTCCTGATACCCCTCACCTGCATGTGGCATTTGGAGGTACCTTCTTTTTAAGCCTGGAAGTGGCTTGTAACCTGTGGTGGACTTCTCCTCCAGGAATCGGAATCCCCTTTTAAAGGCATCTAGGCCAGATGCCATCACCACATCCTGTGGCAAGTTTTTATGAGCCTTTTACCCAGAAGCACAGATGTTACACAATCTGGGCAAGTATATATCCTGAGACTATTCATTTATCAGAACAATGCAGGGGTCCCTTCTGTCAGCTACATTTGATTTACAGGCTATGTCTCATGCTAGAAGACTTTTGGGGGGTAGGGACCAAGATACTATCTTGAAGATACGCTGTAAAGTACAACGAGAACAATTATGAGGGTTTTTTTTGTTTGATTTTTCTCACACAGCCTTTTAAAGGAGTGTATCCATTCAGCTTGGAGGCCATCCAGTGTGAACGAATTTCACATCGGTAGGCAATCACATCATTCATTACCTGATCCAGGCTCATTTACGGAAAATAAAATGTCCAGTATAGATCCCTATCAGCAAATTACGGTAAGTACGTAATGACTTTTTATGTTATTGTCCCAGGATAACGTGCATCATGCTTACAGTTTGGAGAATTGTATGATGTAAATGTTTTACAGTATAGGGTTTTGGATAATTTTAGAATAAATGGAAAGAACTTGAAGAAAAAATAATAAAGTAAAAGCAATGGGTTTAGGGCATAAACTTTCAGATGGATGTCATTAGGTCTAGAAACTCTTTAAAAATAAATTGCATGCTTAGAATGAGAAAATCTATAGCAAATGCCATGCTGAATTACATCTGTAAGCTCATGTTGACAAGTTAATTAGAAATTTGTTACAAATTAAAATGATTAGTTTGGCTAGGCTTATAATAAACAGAGGCTTCAGAGATTAGGAAGAGTGACTTATTGTTCATTCACATTGCTTCTTCCTGTGACAACTTTTAGAGAAAGAAGAATCTGTACTGAAAGCTACTAAGTGGACGTTACCTTTCAGTCTTCTGGCATAAGGGACCAATGACTGATGGAATGGATATGTCTCAGCTTCAGTAAAGACCAGTAGTCCAGTTTGGATGTCACATTTACTCTAATTCTAGTCTGTGATCGCGACATGTCATAGGCAACCTTCCAATTTCCTGCTTCACTCTATTATTACTCTCTCCCTTCTGTAGTTTACTGTGCTCGTAGTGTGATGTCTAAATCTCTGCTTCCAAATGCTTTCAAATCTGGAAACTAAATACAGTGTTAGCCTACCTTAAGGTATTTATTTAAAATACTTTTACCCTGCCTTTCTCCTTAAAAAGGATCCAAGGTGGCTTACATAATTAAATAAATTTAAAAACAAAAACAATAAGTAAGCAAATACTTTAAAAAGAATTAAACAAACATTATATTAAAAAGGGTAAATAAAATCGATACTAAAAACATGCTTCAAAGCAATAAGGCCCATTAAAAATAGCCCTCTCAGACAGACAGCCACTAAGGGAAAGCCCACTTGAAGAGGAAAGTCTTTGTTTGCTTGTGGGATGACAGCAAAGATGGGGCCAGCCTGACTTCCTATGGGAGGGAGTTCCGGAGTCTGGGTGCAGCAACAGAAGGCCCTCTTCCATGTTCCCACCAAATGCACCTGTGAAGGTGGTGAGACTGGGAGAAAGGCCTCTGCTGATGATCTCAGCAGCTGGGCAGGCTCATAAAGGGAGATGAGGTCCTTGAGATAGCTTGGACCGAAGCTGTTTAGGGCTTTATAGGTTATGTACAGCACTTTGAGCTGTGCGGGGAAACAGATCAACAGCCAGTGGAGCAGCTGTAATAGAGAGGTTATGTGATCCCTGTAACCAGCTCCAGTTGAAACAATCTGGCTGCCATGTTTTCGACCTGCTGAAGTTTCCAAACACATTCCAAAGGCTATTCCACATAAGAGTGTATTACAGTCATCCAGTCAATTAAGGTATATGTCACTGTGGCCAGATCAAGTATCTCCAGGAATGGATACAGCTAGCTTACTTGTTTTAACTGTGCACATGCACTCCTGGCCATTTAAATCGTGCAGTCCCATTCATTTTAATGAATGTGACTCCAGCTGGGATTAACAGTGGATTTAGCTACCGGTTAGGAAGCAATCCTGCTCTGTCCTTTATATATTTGTTTGGACTTTTATAGTTTAGTACTTCATATAGCTAGGTCTGTTTTAGAAGCAAACTGTGTAGGAAACCATTGAAAGGAGGAAGAAAACCCTTATCGGAATCGGAAGGAGGCAGTATGTGAAGCCGTGGGGGATTCCTGCTCACCAGATGAAGCCTTGGAGGTTAGGTGACGTGGAAAATGAGTTGAACCTTAAGGTGACCTGAAGCCATTGCTCAAGATTGCAGAAGGCTACTATTTGTCTTGCAGTATGGCTACCAATTACTGGAATCCAACCGGCTGTGAATTTATGCCATTTATTTGCTGTTGTTGTGACTTCTTTGATGTCAAGGGCTCACCAAGAAGCATTTGTATTGGAGAAGGAAGTTAAGTGCCTTCTAAAAAGAGCAGTGCTGGAAGTCCTGCACCCGTCTTGCCTAGCCAGTGCTAGTACATCTTTCCTTGACCATAGCCACTCAAAGCTCTATTAGCCCCTGGTTAGCAAGCAATCCTGTTTTGTGCTTTATTTTTTAATTTATTTGGAGTTTTATAGTGTAGTTCTATGCATACCTCAGCCTGTGTAGCCAACTATGTTGTATAGCAAAGCATAGCAAAACAAGCTTGTAGCAAACGATTCCTTTCCTTTCCTTAGAAGCTCATGAAAGCAGCAAAAATAAATAAATAAATAACATAACATAACATTTCAATTATCAAGCAGAATTGAACAGCAGCAACAAATTTAGCAACTACTACCAAGAAATAAAGATTTTTATTTTCTAGAAGCATAGAAACAAGGGAATGGAGATTGAAAAACCATTGAAAAGAGGGAAGAAAACCCATATGAGAATGATGAGGATGCAGCACATGAGCCTCAAGTCCCTTCATATATGTTCCTTTCAACCAGCTCCATCTATATCTAACCCAATTTTCCATACATTCTTCAGAACACTAGACCTACTGTAGGTAAGAACAGTCTGCGAGCCACCGACCAAGAAAGCCCCAATCCTGGTAGGCTCTGGCTGCATTTTAGATGGTGGGTCTACTTATGAAGTAGTTCATTCAATAGAAACCTATCAGCATAATAATAATAAAAATAA